TGCCAGTTTGCAGCTTCCTCATTTGAATTTCTTATCAATTTATTTCTAGCCTGATAAACTGTGCTGGGCAGATATGCCTTCCTTCTCTATTTCAGGAGAAGCTGGTATAAGTTTGTTGTGTGTGTGTGCATGTCCATGTGTATGCCCCTCTATGTGTGTGTGTGTGTGTGTGTGTATCTGTGCATGTCTATGTGCATGTCCATATGTGTGTGTGTCCGTGTGTGTGTGTCCGTGTGTGTGTGTGTGTGTGTGTGTTTCATACATACATACGTGTTCAGAAGCATTTACCAGCGAGGCTTTCCCGACTCCAAGTTCACTTCGCAGGAAAGTTTTAAATTACGAGTCAATGTATTTAATATACGTGACAGGTCAGAGTTTCAGGTTTCATACACATATGAGTGAAATCATATGACTCTTTGTCCTTTTCTGCCTGAGTTATTTCACTTAGCGTGCAACTCTCCAGATCCATCCCATGTTGTAGCAAATGGCAGTACTGCATCCTCTTTTTATGGCGAGTAGTATTCCATTGTATATTTGACCACATCTTCATTCAGTCAGCTGCTGAAACACACGTTGGCTGCTTCTTTGTGCTCCCATTATGCATTTCCAATATATTCATTCACGGTTCTTAATTGTCCATTTCATAGGTCTGATGTGTAATATTTACATTATCACTCAGTTAAAGCATTCTCTTATTTCCGTTTTGGTACTAAAGTCACACATGGATTATTGGTATGTCTCTCTCTGTGTGCTTTTTTTAATTACAAAAAATAGAGATATTATTTATCTTCAATTGTAGAATCTGGTGACTCCCAGTGGGTCCCAGAAGCTGCTGGTGGCTGCACGTGGTCTCCAGGCTGTGGTCATGAGCTAAGTGTCTATAAGAGCAGTTCCCATGTCTTCTGGTGGGGGGGTCCCTGCCCCTCCTTGGAATGTGGGGTCTCCCCTTTAGGCTAGTGGATGGCTAGAGCAGCATACACACTGGGCTCATCTGGGGGCTCCTCTGATGGGGAGGAAGGGAGTGTGCATGTCTTCCTTCTGAGGGTCGAGGGGTTCAGATGGGCATAGGTCACATCTTGGGGGATGTCAGATACAGCAGCCTGGAGCAGGGGAGGGGAAAAGAGAAAGATGACACTTGGTTGGGGTTAGGGGAGCCTTGGAGGTCTGGCAGAGAATGGGACACACCGGAATGTCTACCTGTCTGTCCTCTTCTGTTTGTCTGCCCTTTGTGTCCAGCAGTTCCTGTGTCAGGGAGGAAGGAGAGGTGGCCATTTCCTGCCTGGTTCCTGGTCTTGAGTGGCTTACATGCGGGCCATCATCCTGCCTGGTCTGAAGGAGACAGTGAGACAGAACAGTGTCTCCCTCTATTCCACAGTAGAAATCCTCCTGTCAATCATCCTTATGTTGCCAATCATCTATCTCCTGGTGGAATCGGCAGGGCCTTCCCAAGCCTTGGGGCCTCTGGATGCTTCTGTGGTTCTGACTTTCAGCGCTCTCTCTCGCTCACTGGGCTCCAGCCTCATGGCCCCTCCTCCTGAAGAAGCAGGCCCTGCCTCAGGACCTCTGCACCTGCTCTTTCCCTGTCCCCCCACCATGCACTCTATCCCCTCCTCTTGCTGTATGTTCCTTCACAGCACTTTGCTCTCTGGGACTGTCTGCTTGTTTTCATATTGTCTCCTTCGCCCACAGGTGAGCTCGAGGAGTGTGGACACAGTGTGGCTCAGGGCAGCACCATGTTCCCTAAATGGAGCCGGTAAACTATGAGCCCCTCACATCTGCTGGATGAATGAATGAAGGGGTCCTGGGGACCTGTGGTGAGTCACTCATTCCTGCCTCCTCCTGAAACCTGGGGCTGCACAAGGTCAGACAGAGTATGAAGGGCCAGCAAAGGGGGCCCTGTAGGAGGGGGCATGAGGTCACAGGTAAACCAGGAGGAGTGAGTCACAACAGGACCACCTGGGGGCCCAGAGGGGAGGTCAGTGTGGACGCTGCTGAGAAGCAGGTGAGGTGGGACAGGGAAGGGTCCACTGGATTAAATGGGAAACAGAAGGTCCTTGGTGGCCTGGACAGGAGCAGGGGTCTCACCAGAGGGTACAGCTCCATGCTCTTCCCAAGTGGGTCCTTCATGGCAGCATCTGCTGGGGCAGAACAGGGTGTGTCTCCTGGAAGGTCCCCGAGATCTCAGGGCTGCAGACCCTGCCTGCTCCCAGATGGGCCACTAACCCAGGGTGAGGTGCAGAGCCAGGTCAGGCAGTGTGCATCTCAGTCCTTCTCACCCTTGGCCCCGCAGCCTCCCATCTGATCCCTCCCCCATCATCTCCCAAAAACCCTGTGACACCCCCGCCCAGGCAGCTGTCTCTTCCTCTCACAGAGGTGCTCTTCCTGGGTGTCCACAGCTGGGCTGGAGCTGGGGTGGGGGTGGGGGGGGGGAAAGACAGGAGAGTTAGGGGCAGAGCTGGGCCACAGGATGTGGATGTTTGGGGACTTTGGGGCAGGAATTACCTGATCTGCTGGCCTCTGTCCTTGGGCTCTCGGTGTGTGGTTCCTGCAGGAGGTTGGACATTAGCCCCTCTCTGGGCTGATCAAGAGGGACAGTCTCAGCCCTGGGAGGTTAGAAACAAACCCCCTCCCCCGCCCCACCCCACCCCGCCCCACCCCGTGATTCCACTGAAAACGAGGAAACCTTAACATACCGTGTGTGTAAGTTTCCTACTGCATGGCATTGACAATAATGAAAGATTAGCTTAGATATAAGCTGACATTGAGTGCTTTCTTTCTACATTTTCTGGTTTGAGCTTCTGGAGAAATCCTTTTCCCAGCTCACCTTCTGCATCTATTTGGTTTCCTGTGGCAGGTGCTCTGAGCCCCTCTCCCTCCTGGGCGCCAGGTCACCCCATTCCCCACTCACCCGACATCCTGCCTTTGCTCTGACATCGATGTCGGAGGAGGAAGAAAAGGAGGAGGGAGAGCAGCAGGACCAGGGCCACCGAGACCCCGATCAGGATGTTCATGTTCCATTTGGGACCTTGGGCAGAAGTGACGTCATGAATGAACCAGTGAAGCCATTGAATGAGCACCTACTGTGTGTGAGGCTCATGCTGGGGCCTGTCACTCATCTCCTCTCACCTCACACAGTCATGCACCAGGGATTGATAACCCCATCACCCACTTCACTGAGGCTCAGAGAGGTTAACCACGTGCTACAGGTCACACAGCCTGGACGGGGTGGAGCTGGAAGCCAGGACTGTGGGTTCCCTGTGCTGGCCTCACGCTGCCCCGAGGGGAACACCAGCTTCGTGCTCTGGGCTCCTCCTCTGCAGGGGCCTGTCCACGTCTCTCATCTGGAGCTGAGGGTTCTTTCTCATTACCCGCCCCCAGCACAGCAGGGACAGGAGTGGCAGGGTGAAAGGTGGACTATGAGTCTCTCCTGGATCCCTCTCCACCTTTCAGGCCCTGATGCCCCCTTGGGAAGGTGGGGCTGGGCTGCAGGCTCTGCCTTCCTGAGCTCTGTGAGGCCTTTATGTCACCTCATCTCCCAGCAGCCTGTGAGTAGGAGGGGACCAGGGATGAGCAGATAGATACCTGACACTCAGAGGAGAGAAGGGACCCCCAACCCCACAGCAGGAGCAGCAGAGCCAGGGGCTGACCCAGTGCTGATCCATCCTGTTCCCTCCTCTGAGCTGAGCCTGAGCTGAGGGGGAGGACTGAGGGCCTGGACCCTTGTCCTGCCCATTCCTCCCTGTATAGTGTCACCGTCACTGAGACAGAGGGGACAGGCCCCGTAACATCACGTCCAGGGGGCTTCCCTGTAAGGCCCTCTCCCAGGAGGTCAAGGCCAGAACCGACAGGAAATGTAAGCTCTGGACAAGGATTCTCTCCTTTTACACCTGAGACACCGAGGCCCAGACAGGGGAAGGGCGGGTCAAAGTCAGTGTCTCTCAAGGGTTGTAAATCTTTTCATGTCTCAGTCCCTGTTCCCCATGGAGGGAACCACAACCTCCCTATCAAGAACCTCATTTAAGCTGAAACCGGTTTGACTCAGTGGATAGAGCATCAGCCTGTGGACTGAAGGGTCCCGGGTTCAATTCCGGTCAAGGACATGTACCTTGGTTGCGGGCACATCCCCAGTAGGGGGCGTGCAAGAGGCAGCTGATTGATGACTCTCTCTCATCGATGATTCTATCTCTCTCCCTTCCTCTCTGTAAAAAAATCAATAAAATATATATTTAAAAAAAGAAGAAAAAAAAAAAGAACCTCATTTAAGCCTCTGTGGGCCCGACTCAATGGGGCAGAGGGGACCAATCCTCAGAGCCTCCTAAGGATCAGGATGAATGAGGGTTTGGTGCTGCCTTCTCCCAGTTCAGTCCAACCCTCCCTCCAACTCTCCCTCCCCCACAATTCCCTCTGCCATGACCACCCACCTGTCTCCTGCCTCACTTCCCCCTCTTAGGCCTGATTCTGTGGTGGAGGAAGGGTGAATTTTCAGAGTCCCTGGAGGCCTGCGGTCCCTCTGAAATATCTCCTGGAATCCCTGCATCCCTCCGCTGGGACATAAGCCTATCTTAGGTGTCAGGTGGGCATTAGGTCCTCTGAGAGACTCAGAACCACCCTGGGGTGCTCTAGCTTCCTTTGAGCAGAAGGGACCCAGGGGCTTATCAGCTGTGGACATGGGCCCTGTGGGTGGGGTGCTGGGGTCCCAGAGGTTCCTGGGAAGGAGGACAGAAGAGGGTAAGAATCTGGGATGGACCCTGGAGACCCCACCTCACTCAAACTCCTTCTGCATCTGCACTGTGGCCACTCAAACCCTCCCACTGCCCACCTGGCACTTTCAGGATTGAGGTGAGGGGGCCGGGTGCATGGGACGTTGGGAAGGGTCTCTGAAGTGCAAATGTCTTCTGGGTGACCAGCCCTAGTGTGCCCCCACTCCATTCCAGCCCATGATTGTTCTCAGGATAGAACCCTGAGCTGACAGCTCAGCAGACAGGGTCAGGGGCCCTCACCTGAGACCAGGAGCTCCAGGGGCTCACTGGGGTGTGACAGCAGGAAGGGGGAGGAGCTGCGTGAGCTGTAGCACCTGTAGGTGCCCCCATGGGCTGAGGTCACAGGGCTCATGGGGAACTCTGCCTGGTACTGCTGAGCTCGGTGCTCTGATTTCAGACTCAGCGGGGGATCAGCTGCCCTCTCCTTAGACAGAAGGAAAGTGTCCCTCTGGCTCTGTGACTGACACCGCAGGGTCACGTTCTCTCCCGAGGCCACACTGGGGCCTGGCTGCACCGAGAGGGAGGGTCTGTCAGTCAGCCATCCTAGAGAGAGAGAGAGGGAGGGAGAGTGAAGGCTGCTTGTCCCCCTTGTTCTGCCCTGAGAGTCACCAGGCCTCTCTCTGAGGACCCTCCTATCTGTCTGTCTCTGTTTCTCTGAGTCTCCACTCTCCCCTCCCACCCCCTGCCTCTCTGTCTCTCTCCCTCCCTGGGGCCTGAACTTTCACTCTGGCCTCACCACCTGAGACACCCCCACCCTCAGCAGGGCCTGTGCAGAGTCTGGGTCCCTGACTGAACCCACTGGCTCCTCACCTGCCACCAGGATGTCCAGGGGGTCGCTGGGGGCCGACCACTCAGAGGAGAGGTTGTATCCACCGTAGCATCTGTACCGGCCTCCATAGGAGCTGCTCACAGTGTCCAGGGGGAAGTGGGCCTGAGAGAGCCCAGCCTGGGGCTGCAGGACAAGGCTCTGGAGGAGGTCCTGTTTACCCTCCTTGTGCAGAGCGAATCTGTCATAGCCGACATCAGAGCGACACTGGAGGGTCAGGTTCTGTCCAGAGGCCACAATGGGGCCCTGCTGGGTCAGGAGGGAGGGCTTCCCAGACTCACCTGGGGAGAGCAGACGTGAATTGCAAGGGTTGCTCCTCCCATAAACACTTTTACCTCTCCTGGCCCCCAGGTCTCACTGTCTCTCTGTGTCTCTGGTCCAGGAGCCTCTGTACCTACCCACCACCCATCTCTCACAAGGGGCTCTCCTCCCAGCAATAATGTGTCTGGTGCCTCAATCCATGGATGGGGCAATAATTGGACTCACCTGAGACCAGCAGCTCTAGGGGCTCACTAGGATATGACCACACGTGGGGTCTGTCCCTCTGGCAGCCATAGCATCTGAACGCCCACCAGTAGCTGGCAGTCACTGGGCCCACAGGGAACAGGGCCTGAGTCTTCCCACTGGCGTATTGTGAGTCCAGGGCCCAGGAGAGCCTGTGATCTCCTTCCTTAGTCAGAATGAATATGTCAAATCTCTCCCATGTGCCACACTGAAGGGTCACGTTTCCTCCTGAGGGCACGATAGGGCTGGGCAGGGCTGAGAGGCTAGGTTTGCTGTAGGATCCTAGGAGAGGAAGAGGCAGCATGTTAAATGGGCTTACACCTCCCTCATGTCCCCCAGGGCTGGGCTGTGACAAGGAGACACCCTGAGAGCAGACCCCCTTCCTGAGGGCAGAGCCTGAGGCTGGGACCCCTGAGTGTACTCTCACCTGTCACCATCACCAGCTCCAGGGAGTCACTGTGCTCTGACCAGCCAGCAGGGCTGCGGTAGAGACAGCCATATCTCCCGGCATCACGCTCTGTCATGTATGTAATGGAGAACTTGGCTCTGTCCCCTGGCTCCAGTTGCTCCTGTCTTTTCAATGGTCGTGGGCTTCTCTCTTTCTCTAGATGATACTCCTTAGCCCCTGGGGTCCCCTGACACCAGATGGTCACGGGGCTTCCAGAATGGATCGCAGAGCCTGGCTCAGCCCAGATGGTGGGTTTGGGGAGGGTCCCTGGAAGGAAGCCAGTAGCTGGGTTTTAAGACATCCCCACCCTCAGTTCAGAGCTCTCAGCCAAGGACTTTCCCCAGTGTTCTCCGTCTGTCAGCCCAGAACTGCTCTTCTCCATCCCAGGCTGCCTGTTGTGTGGTCCCTCTTCCACAGAGAGGAGCTGGACCTGGGACACGTGGGTAGACTCACCTGCCTGCACTGGGGTCCTGAGGCCCACACTCAGCCCTGGAAGAGAGTCCCTGTGAGAGATTTGCCCTGAACCCTGAGCAGCTCCCTCCTCCCCATGAGCCCCCTGAGTCCTGGGGTCCTGACAGACCAGGCCTCCCAGCCCCGCTCCCCGCCCCCCCCAACAATCTCACCGAGGCAAAGCAGGGCCGTGAGGGTAGGGGTCATGGTGTCTCCTCTCTCTGTACCGTGCTGAGCTAATGGAAGAGGCCACAGTGTCCTCTGAACAGACAGACACAAAGGGTGTGGCCCTCGGAGGCAGGCCTTCCTGGTCACAGGCTCTCATGTCAACAGCCCCACAGAAAGAGGAACATTCGCCTCCCAGAGCCTGCTTCTGGTTTCCATGGTGAAGCAGGATATAGATCTGCAGAGTCCTGAGATGCGCCTTGCAGGTGTGGTGGCCCAGGGCAAGTCCTTCCCTGTCAGAGCCTCCCCCATGGGGTTTCCTTCCTCCCCAGCCCGTCCATCAGCACTTCCCTGGGGTCCTTACCATGGACAGTGCCACCCGGGTCCTGGAGACGCTTCAGGAAGACGTGGGCCCCTGGGGCCTGCAGAGCTCAGATCAGCAGGGACACATTCACCCTCTCCGTGTGCAGCTCAGGGCGATGTCCCTGTGACAGTGGGCACAGAAGGAAATGCAGGAAAATAAGGGAAGGAAAGACGTCTCTTCCGGCCCTGAGTGTTGCTGCTGCTTCTTCTTCTTCTTCTTCTTCTTCTTCTTCTTCTTCTTCTTCTTCTTCTTCTTTTTATCACAGCCTCCCTCTTGGACTTCTCTCTCTTATCCTTGGCCACAGCATCTACCGAAACTTCTTGGGGACAAGCTTCTGAGTCATAGTTCCTCCTCAGTGCCCCTCATTTCCTGTGTTAAAGTCTCCCCTTCAACCTGTGGTCCAGCCTTCAAGCATTAGGGCACGTTGATTTGGGTTATATTGGGTCGGCAACTGGGTAATTGCGGATTTTTTAAAGAAAATCAAAGACAATTTTTTCATGGAACTAAATAACTTTATTCTGTAATGTATTGACCATTTTGATCAATGACCTTTTGCCATCTTTCAGGCAGCATCATAATCCCACGTTCAAAAAACTTCTGGTTTTTATTAGCAAAAAACTGAATCAGGTACGATTTGACATCATCATCATTATTGAAATTTTTACCATTCAAGGAGTTTTGTAAAGATCAAAACAAAAAGTAATCAGATGGTGCAAAGTCAGGACTATATGGTGGATGTGGCAAAACATCCCAACCAAGCTCCATTAATTTTTGCCGAGTGACCAAAGATGTGTGTGGCCTTGCATTGTCATGATGGAATACAACACCTTTTCGATTTGTCAATTCGGGCCGCTTTTCTTCAACTGCATTGTTTAATTTCGTTAGTTGTTCAATGTAGACATCAGAATTGATCGTTCGGTTGGGTGGTAAGAGTTCAAAGTAGACAATTCCTTTGTAATCCCACCAAACTGATAACAAAACCTTCTTTTGATGAATATCAGCTTTTGATGTTGTTTGAGTTGGTTCACCTGGCCTGCTCCACGATCTTTTCCACTTGATATTGTTGTAAACAACCCATTTTTCATCGCCAGTTATCAGTCATTTTAAAAATGGATCATTTTCATTACGTTTCTTTAGCAAATCGCAGCTGCTAATGCGTTGCATTAACTGTGATTCTTTCAGTTCGTGAGGAACCCATGTATCAAGTTTTTGAACATAGCCAAGTTGTTTTAAGTGATTTTCAATGCATGTATGTGATACATGAAGTTTCTCTGCAATCTCACGTGTTGTACTGTGACAGTCCGAATTGATTATTGCTTTGATTAGGGCGTCATCAACTTCAACTGGACGACCAGAGCGTTTTTCATCTTTGAGTGAAAAATCACCAGAACGAAATTTGGCAAACCAATTTTGACACTGCCATTCTTTTAAGGCTTCGTCACCATAAACAGCACATAACTTTTTATGAGCTTGCGATGCGTTTTTCCCTTTGCGGAAATAAAAAAGCAAAATATGACGAAAGTGTTCCTTTTGATTTTCCATTTTTCAACGAACGCCAAACGAAAACTACAAAACAGATCAAAAAACTTTTTTTACTGATTAACAGCTGAATAGCCAAATGTCAAATAACAAAATGTGTTTTACATTTGTACTACGTCTGCAAACCTAAAAATTCAACTGAAGCCATATGTGTGTAAAGCCCGCAATTACGTAGTTGCCGACCCAATATAATGTCTCGTCAACAGGGTGTACACCTGAAACTAATATTGAATTGTATGTCAACTGTAGTTGAATAATAAAAAAATGATTAGAGAACTTTAATTAAAGGTTAAAAGCTACTTGACAGAAAACTCCTACTTCAATAAGAGGTGGTAGCTATTAAAATGTTTTAACTTATTACCAAACATTAAAAGATGGACTGGCTCAAGGGTTAGGTCAGAGAACACCCAACAGCAAAATCAGATGTATGCAGCCATCCAATCTGATCACAAACAAAATCATTAAAGGGTACATTGAATAAATAACAAATGTGTTGTCATTATTTAATAACATTAGCTGGTTGCTATATAAATATTCAACAATATGACACAGAAAATATGTTATAAAATTCATTTTTGCTTTAAAAATACTGTGTGAGGCAGCCACTGATCTTATGACATGTCCTTGAAGTACAAAAAGTCTGTAGATAATTGGAGACTGAACCGAACATTTATAAGATCAATGGAATGGGTGGGAAAAAAACTTTTTATAAAAACAAATGACACAAATGCTTGATCTAATATGTACAAATTATAAAGCTTTGTATTATACACATTATACAAATATGCATAAAATTATTTGTAATAAATAAATAATAAAGTAATGTATGTAGCAACGGGAGGAATTTGTGTATTTAAGGCTCTTATTGTACCTACCGTATTTAGCATTTAATAGGCTAATCAGATAGTGTCTTTATGTCTGTTCAAACTGCTCTCACGTACATTACATTCCTAAGAATGTTGCAATTTAATTAGCAGTCAGCCCTAAGAAGATACGAAAAGTCTCAAACCAGCCTGAAATAAGTGACATGCGAAATCAGAAAATAGTTGCCTGAATTTATGTATGATTAGGGAAGAGAATGATGGACTTATATCATATCAAAACTTGGAAGCTGTCAGAAAGGAAGGGCAGACATCCAGAGAGACATTAGCAGGCTTGCAGAACAAGGGATTTCTACCGTCATGCCTTCATTCAACATCAATTCTGACAACCACCCACAGATGAGGGTTCCCTTGTGGAAGTGTGGGAGTCTAGCAGAGAAGGTAGAACACTTGGCCAGAGCAAAATTTTGAGAATATACTCATGAAAGAGGATATGAAGAAGAGTTTCTTTCCGAACCAATCCCAATCTGGAACCACTCCAGGGGTGTGACAGAACACCACCACCTGATGGATGTGAACCCCACCTCTGGAATCGCGCCCCCACATCCACAATGCTGGGCTTGACAACAGTTCAGATTCTAGGGCCATTGTGGGGCCGAAGCTCTCATGGACCTCATTCAAATTCTCTTTTTTAAATATACTTTAAAAAAAAATTATTGCCGAAACCGGTTTGGCTCAATGGATAGAGCGTCGGTTGGGGGACTGAAAGGTCCCGGGTTCGATTCCGGTCAAGGGCATGTACTTTGGTTGCGGGCATATCCCCTGTGGGGGGTGTGCAAGAGGCAGCTGATTGATGACTCTTTCTCATCGATGTTTCTAACTCTCTATCTCTCTCTCTTCCTCTCTGTAAAAATCAATAAAATATATTTTTTTTAAAAAATATTGATTTCTGAGAGGAAAGAAGAGGGAGAGAGAAATGAGAGCATCATTGTTGAGAGAATCATTGGGAAGCTGACTCCTGTATACCCCCTCCTGAGGATCAAGCCCTCAAACTAGACATGTGCCCTTGACTGGATTAGAAACCAGGACCCACCAGTTCGTAGTCCCATGTTCTATTCAATGAGCCAAACCGGCTAGGGCCCAGTTTAAATTCTGAATGGCATCTCAGTTGCGATTGGCCATTTGCTTCCTTCAGGGCCCCAGTTTCTCACCTGGAAAGACTCCCTGTGGGATTGGACTCAGGTGTGGCTGATGAGACAGATGAGGCCATGGGTGTGGAAAACAAAATGTGGACATGGGAAGGGTTTGCTGCACGTGATCAACAACCACTTGGTGGTAGATATGGTCACTCGTGAAGGGTGTGGTTGCCCACCTCCCCCCAGTTCGTCTGCACCCCACTAACTTGTGTGGGAAATAATGAGGGTCATAGAACAGAAATGCTCTATCTGTGAGTAGTGACTAGTAGACTTATGAGTCATCAAATGAACGTTGAGAAGAAAGCGGCCATGATTCCAGAAGCCTCTGTGGTTTCCATCCTGAACAAAACCTGCCAACATTTTCTAACTTATAAGCATCATCATGGGTTTCCTGGAATTCCTTTATTTCTTTTATTTGTGTGGTTTATCTTAGTTATCTGTTCCTAAATAATACACGTCTTTTTTCCTTTAATGTCTCTTTTTTATTTTTACTTTTATTTCTTAAAGGTTTTTCTTTCTTTTGTTTCTTTAATTAATTTCTTTATTGATTTAGGTATCACATATTTGTCCTCAACCCCCCATTCCAATTCCCCCCCCCATTCTTGCCCCCACCCCCTTATTGTTCTTGACCACTGGTTAGGCTCGTATATGTGCACATAAGTCCTTTGGTTGATCTCTCTCTTTTACCCCTCACTCCCTTTGAGGTCAAACAGTCTGACCCATGGCTCCTTATCTCTGGGTCTGTTCTTGTTCATCAGTCTATGTTGTTCACCATGCCTTACAGCATAATGATTATTGCTTGTCTCATTTTTGATTCTTATAAGTATATCCAGTAGGACACAATCTCACTCATCTAATGCCTCCTTTTTAATGTTGGGTAAATAGAATAGTTCCAAACACATAGTTTTATTTTCTTCTACTTGTATTAGCTATGATGTGTGAACATGGAAATACATGACCTTTGTGATTTCAATTTGTACATGTTGGTTGACATAAACTATCTGAATTTTTACACACAACACCAACGTTTCTCTTTTCTGATGCATGTAATATTATAGTGGTTTTCTTGATGGAGAGGGTTGGGAAAAAAAATAACTCTTTTCAATGTCCTTGTGTGTGATGCACATGTGCACATTTTCTCTATGGTATATCCTTAAAGTCGAAGCTGTGTGTCTCTAACTAGATGAGTGTCATGTGGTTTCTGAATTGTTGAATACAATTGACACTCCTACAAGTCATGCAGTAGGATTCTATGGACTCACGATTCTCTCCCACAAGTGATATTAAGACATTCCATTGTGCATCTCACCTGGATAGGTGGGGTTTGTGCTCTTGTGTTTTCACAGAAACTGTGCCCAAACCTTCAAGTAGAAACCATCGTGACACATCAATGGGAAGGGGCATAGACGCACTGTGGGGCAATCAGTGTGATGTTAACGTTGTCCCACATCGGCTTGTACCGCTTTGTGAAAGTCAGTTTGTGCATCACCTCCCAAGTCTGCGTGAGGACCTCACATGGGCACTTGACCTTGGCCACGAAGGGGGCATATACACCAGAGAAAGTGGCAAATGACAGGAATGAGTGATTTTTTATATTAAATTTATTGGGGTGCCATCGGTAAATGACATGACATAGGTTTCAAGGGGGCACGTGTGTAACACATCATCTGTGTGTTGTACTGTGTTGTGGACAATGGGGTTTTCAGAGGCAGCGTAGACCAGGCAACCCCTTCAAACAACCAGGTCTCCATCCCAAAGGTTGAGGCTTCTGCAGAAAGCACACAGGTGGCCTCAGAGGCAGGTGAGGTGCGTGTGAGCTCCTGTGGGGTTCTCTCTTACAGGATGGATTGTGTACTCTGTAGATGGATGACAGTAGATGGCATGCTCTGAACTCAGGTGAAGAAGACTCCAATATAGACACGAAAGTCCATGTAAATAGAAATAAAAGAAAATGTATTCCATGAAAGTGTAGGGATTTGTGGGATGTACCTACTCTATGGGATAAATGCTAATTTCACCAAAATGGGGAGAGTCAGGAACCAGGGACAGGCCTCACTGTGGTCGGGAGGGGAAGGGCCACAGTTCAAGGGCAGAAGGTCCAGACCTTGTTCCTGCACATGCGTGATGACTCCTCCACCTGCAAGGAGCAGCAGACAGGTCCCCCAGCATATGTCTCACATGATCTTCCAGAACTTCCACAAGATACCCCTCTCTGAACCATGCATTGTTCCCCTCCATGTTCACATCCTGGCTGCATCCTGGGTCTGATTCTGGCTGTTTCGAGACCAAAATAGCAGCACCCCGAGTGCCATCAGGACCAATCCAGCCACGCCCATCCGGATGGAATTCTCCACGGTGTAGTCTTGGGGGTGGGTGGCTGGGAATTGTAGGGGAAAGGAGTCACAGGGATCAGGGCAGGACGAGCTCACCCCTGGGCCCTGGATGTCCACCCAGGGAATCCTCTCCCCTTGACAGGACATGAACCCATAACAGAACTTGTCTCCTACTCACTATTCTTGGGGTCTGAGTTGTTCTGTGAGGGGCTGATGGTGTCGGCTGCTCCTGAGAACCAGAAAGGAGTGGGACTGTGTGAAGAGTTGATGCCACTCAAGCCCAGGGTCCCCATCCCTCTCCCATTTCTCATGACCTAACTGCTACCAGTCCCTCCATGAACCCTTTCTCTGCTGGAGAAGGATCCTGGCTGCTTTCATGGATTCTTTCAGGCTCTCTGGGAAATTTGAGTTTAGACTTTGCTTCTGAGTCACTTTGGAGCCTTCAGGATTGGGCAGAAATATAGGCTCATGATTTGGAAAATAGTGAGCCTTTAATTATTTAAAATTCTCACCGGAGGTAATTTTTTCCATTAATATTCAGAGAGAGTAAAAGGGATGAGGGGATGAAGAGAGAGGGAGAGGAAAAGAAAAACATTGATGTGTGAGAGACCCATGGATCGGTTGCCTCCTCCACAAGGCCTGACAGGGGCTAGGGATCAAACCTGTGACCCATTTACTGGGAATCAAACCCTGGGTGCTGTGTGGGGCATGCAGGAGGCAGCCGATAAATGATTCTGCCTCATCATGGATGTTTCTGTATATCTCTCCCTCTCCCTTCCTCTCTAAAATCAATGAAAATGTATTTTTAAAAATTTAATGTTTTGAAGCTACCTATATAATAAAAGGATAATATGCAAATCGAATGAATGGTGGAAGGACTGTCACTATATTGCACACTGACCAACAGGGGGCAGACACTCAATACAGGAGCTGCCCCTTGGTGGTTAGTGTGCTTCCACAGGGGGAGCTCCACTTAGGCAGAAGGCCTGAGCCAGGCTTCTGGAGGGATCCTGGACTGCATGAGGGTGTAGGCCAGGCTGAGGGACCCACCCAGTGCACGAATTTCATGCATCACGCTTCTATTCTTTTATAAGAAACTTCAAGTAAACAAACACTTGTTCTTCATAATAAATACGTAAATTTAATATGATCTCAGTTAAAATAAGAATAAATCTATGCTCTCAAAGGCATGAATGCTTGCAGATTAAAATGATATATGCAACTATTGCCTACAACTTCCCAGCAAAAAAGCATTAACAGAGAGATAGGCACAGACAACACAGAGAGCAAACGTGAATTTCACACAGAGTCTGGGCAGGAGCCCCCAGTTCCTCATGAGCCCTCCATGGCCCCCCCTGAGTCTCAGGTGAGCACTGAGGGCCTGGAGGCTGCCAGGGGAGCACAGGGCCTTGCAGAGCAGTGCTCACAGGTGGGGACACTTCTCACTGCAGCAGGGTGTCCAGTGGGGACGGCACCATCACCCACAGCAGGTGCCACCTTGGCCAGAGCAGCCACCTGTCCTGCTTTGAGAAGGCTCAGGGTCCCACCTGTGTGGTGAGGGCTTCCACCCAAGGGGCTCTGGAAATGAGCAGCTGAGGGAGTGTCCCCCTGTCCTCTCTCCACCTCTCTGGCCTCTCCTCCCCCATCAGCTTGGGCTGGCCCCCACATCTCCCTCTGCCATGACCACCCCACCTATCACCTGCCTCACTTCTCCCTCTTAGGCCTGACTCCATGGGGTGGGGGTGAATCCTCAGAGATATTGGAACCCTGTAGTTCTCTGAAATTTCTCCAGGGCTCCTAGCTCCCTGGGGCACAAATAGTCTTAGGCATTGTGGGGGGGGGGGGCGGGTGGAGGGGGGTGACATTAGATCCTCTAAGAGACTCAGAAATGCACTGGAGTGAGCAGTGCACTCTCTGAGCAAAGGGGACCCAGAATTCATGAGCTGTGGACATGGTCCCTGTGGGTGGAGAGGTGGGATCCCAGAGGGTCTTGGGAGGGAGGACAGAAAGTGTGAGACTTGGGGGCCACCCTGGAGTCCCCACCTCACTCAGATCCTCCTGCCTCTGCCCTGTGGCCCTTAGACCCTTCCACTATCCACCTGGAACCTTCTGGGCCCAGGTGATGGGGAGGGCTGAGCAGGGGCTGGAGGGTCTCTGAGTGTCAGATCTCCTCTGGATGTCCATCCCTAGGGCCCCTCCATCCCTTTCAGGCCATGATTGTTCCGAGAGAAGACCCAGAGCTGACAGCTCAGCACACAGGGTCAGGGCTCCTCACCTGAGACCAGGAGCTCCAGGGGCTCACTGGGGTGTGACAGCAGGAAGGGGGAGGAGCTGAGTGAGCTGTAGCACCTGTAGGTGCCCCCGTGGGCTGAGGTCACAGGACTCATGGAGAACTCTGCCTGGTACTGCTGAGCTCGGTGCTCTGATCTCAGACGCAGGGGAGGATCGGCTGTCCCCTCCTTGGACAGATGGAAAGTGTCCCCTGGGCTCTGTGACTGACACAGCAGGGTTACGTTCATGCCTGTGGTCACCCTGGGGCCTGGCTGCACCGAGAGGGAGGGTCTGTCAAGCAGCCATTCTAGAGAGAGAGAGAGAGAGAGAGAGGGAAGGTGAGGGTTGCCTGCCCACCTTGCTCTGCCCTGAGAGTCACCAGGCCTCTCTCTGAGGACCCTCCTCTCCCACCCCCTGTTTCTCTGTCTCTCTCCCTGCACTTTCATTCTGGCCTCCTTACCAGAGACCCCCCAGCAGGGCCAGTTCAGAGTCTGGGTCCGTGCTGAACCCACGGGCTCCTCACCTGCCACCAGGATGTCCAGGGGATCACTGGGGGCTGACCACTCAGAAGAGAGGTTGTATCCACCGTAGCATCTGTACCGGCCCCCCTGGGAGCTTCTCACAGTGCCCAGGGGGAAGTGGGCCTGAGAGAGCCCAGCTTGGGGCTGCAGGACCAGGCCCTGGGGGAGGTCCCGTTCCCCCTCCTTGTGCAGAGCGAATCTGTCATAGCCGACATCAGAGCGACACTGGAGGGTCAGGCTCTGTCCTGAGGCCACGATGGGGCCCTGTTGGCTCAGGAGAGAAGGCTTCCCAGACTCACCTGGGGAGAGCAAACATGAATGACAGGGTCTGCTTCTCCCATAACCCCATTCTCTCATGCTGGCCCTCACTCTCTGTGTGTGTCTTGTCCAGGAGCCCTGTAATCCCCTCACCCATATGCTCTCACATGAGGCTCTCCTCCCAGCAAAGATGGCAACAATATATGTGGGACCATGCATGGGACCAGGAAGGTACTCACCTGGGATCAGGAGCTCCAGGGCATCACTGGGGAGTGACCACACCTGGGAGTTGTCCCTGTAGCAGCCATAGCATCTGAACCTCCACATGTGACTGGAGGTCACAGGACCCATAGGAAACAGGGCCTGGGACCCTCCACTGGACTGTGGCTGTGAGTCCAGGGCCCAGGAGAGCCTGTGATCTCCTTCCTTAGTCAGAAGGAACCTGTCAAATTCCTGCCTTGAGCCACACTGAAGGGTCACGTTCCCTCTTGAGGTCATGACCGGGCTGGGCAGGGCTGAGAGGCTGGGTTTGATGTACAATCCTAGGAGAAGAGGAGAAAGCCTGTTAAATGGGGCTCACACCTCCCACATGCCCCCCAGGGCTGGGCTGTGAGAGGGAGACACCTGAGAGCAGACCCCCTTCCTGAGGACAGAGCCTGAGGCTGGGATCCCTGAGTGTCCTCTCACCTGTCACCACCAGCTCCAGGGGGTCACTGAGATCTGAACGGCCAGTGGAGCTGCCATAGTAACAGCGATATATCCCTGCATCCTGCTCTGTCATGCGTGTGATAGAGAACGTGGCCTTGTCCCCAGGCTCCAGTAGATCCAGTCTTTTCCATGGTGCTGGGCTTCCCTCTCTATCCAGATGGTACTCCTCAGCCCCTGGTGTCCCCTGACACCAGATGGTCACGGGTCTCCCAAAAGGGATCACAGGGCCTGGCTCAGCCCAGAGGGTGGGTTTGGGGAGGGGTCCTAGAAAAAAACCAGTAGCTGGGTTCTAAGATATTCCCACCCTCAGTCCTAGCTCTCAGCTCAGGACCTTCCCAGGTGTTACTTGTCTGTTACCTCAGAGCACTGTCCTTCTGCTGCTACCTATGGGGTGGCCCTTGTGCCCAGGGAGGAACGGGACCTGGGACACCTGGGGAGACTCACCTGCCTGCACTGGGGTCCAGAGGCCCACACTCAGCCCTGGAAGAGAGTCCCTGTAAGAGATTTTCCCTGAACCCTGAGCAGCACCCTCCTCCCCATGAGCCTCCTGAGTCCTGGGGTCCTGACGGACCAGGACTCCATTCACCCTCCCATCTCACCGAGGCAGAGCAGGGCCCTGAGGGTGAGAGTCATGGTGTCTTCTCTCTTTCCACCAAGCCATGCAGATACAGGAGGCCAAGGTGTCCTCTGGACAGACGGATTCACGGAGGGTGGTCGCTGGCAGTCTGGCCCTCCCTATGATGAGGTTTTCACATCAGCAACCCCAGGAAGGGGAACATTCCCTTCCCAGAAGCCTGCATCTGGTTTCCATGGTGAAGCACGAAATAGACAGAGAGATTCCTGAGACGCCCCTTGCAGGTCAAGTGACCCAGGGCACGTCCTTACCGGTCAGAGCCTCCCCCACGGGGTCTCCTTCCTCCTCAGCCCATCCATCAGCACCTCCCTGTAGTCCTCACCATGGAGAGTGTCTCCCAGGCCCTGGAGACGCTTCAGGAAGACGTGGGTCCCTGTGGCCTGCAGAGCTCAGATCAGCAGGGACACAATCACCCTCTCCCTGTGCAGCTCAGGGCGATGTCACCTTGACACTGAGCACGGAGGGAAATGCAGGGAAATAAGGGAAGGAAACAAGTCACTTCTCCTGGCCCCAGAGTGTGGCTTCATTTCTATCCTAGCCACTTCTTCTTCTTTTTTTTCTGTCACAACATCAACTGCACTTTCTTGGGGACAAGCTTCTGAAGCAATTTTCCTCCTCAGTGCTCCTTGTTTCCTGGGGTTAAAGTCTCCTCCTCCTCCCATGGTCCAGCCTTCAAGCTTTATGGGATGCTGATTTAGATTAGAGTTCTGATTTTGACTTAGAACAGAATATTTATTTATTTATTTATATTTATTATTTTTGTTGTTTACATGAGATCCACTTTTTTTTTTTAAATGCTTACTGTTGAAAGTATTACAGATATCACACTTTTTCTCACTATTGTGCCCCTCCACCGGGTTCCTGCTCTGTCCCAAGCCTTCATCACCCCATTACCTGTGTCCATTGGTAATGCACATGTTCCTATAAGTTCTTTGGCTAATGTCTTTCTGACCCCTGCCCTCTTCCCTCTGAGATTCACCAGTCTATGCCTCAAGTTTTCTTTTATTATCATCAGTTTATTTTGTTCATTAGATTTCTGGATCGTTTATTTTGATTTTTAGATCAATTGTTGATAGATATGTATTTATTGCCATTTTCTTGTTTCTTCTTCTTCTTCCTCTTCTTCTTCTTCTTCCTCTTCTTCTTCTTCTTCTTCTTCTTCTTCTTCTTCTTCTTCTTCTTTTTCTTCTTCTTCTTCTTCTTCTTCTTCTTCTTCACATTTCATATTAGTTTGGTGGCGATGAAGTTCTTTAGCCTTTTCTTCTCTGTGAAGCTCTTTATTTGACTTCCAATTCTAAATGAGAGCTTTGCTGGGTAGTGTAATCTTGGTTGTAGATCCTTGCTATGTATCACTTTGAGTATTTCATGCCATTTCCTTCTGTTCTGCAAACGTTGTGTTGAGAAATCAGCTGACAGTCATATGGGCGGTATCTTGTAGATAACTGCTTTTCTCACTGCTTTTAAGATTATATCTTTTTCTTTAACCCTTGGAATTTTAATTATGTTGTGTTGTGGTGTAGGACTCTTGAGGTTCCTTTTGTTTGGGACTCTCTGTGATTCCTAGACTTGTAAGTCTATTTCTTTCACCAGGTAGGGGAAGATTTCTGTCACTGTTTCTTCCAATAGTGTTTCCATATCTTGTTTTGTCTCTTCCCCTTCTGACACCTCCATTATGTGAATGTTGCTATGCTGGAAATTGTTCCCGAGGCTCCTTAGACTATCATCACATTTTTAGATTCTGTTTGCTTTTCTGATTGGGTGTTTTATGCTCCCTCATATTTCAAATTGCTGACTTAATTCTTGACATCCTGTACTCTGCTGATGAAACCTTGTAAATGATTCTTTATTTTAGTGAGTGTATGTATAGTTTCTAACTGGTTCTATTTAGTGTCTTTGATGTTCTCACTAAGATCCTTGAAATTCTCATTAAGCCCCTGGAAGCTCTCATTAAGATCCTTGAACAACCTTATAACCATTGTTTTGAACTCTGCATCTAGTAGTTTGTTAGCTTTCATTTCATTTAGTTCTTTTCCTGGAAATTTCTTCCCTTCCTTCATATGGGACATGTCTCTCTGTCTCTGCATTTGTGCTGCTTCCCTGTGCTTGTTTCTAGGTATTATGTAGAGCTGCTATGTTCCCTGGAATTGGTAGGGTGACCTTCCATAGTTGGTGTCTTGTAGGGCCCAGTGGCTCAGCCTCCCAAGTTACTTGACCTGGCACTCTAGGTGCACCCATGTGTGGGCTTTGTGCACTGTCCTGTTGTAGTTGAGTCTTGATTGCTATTGACAACACTGGGAGGAATTGACCTCCAGGCCAGATGTAACTAAAAATGAGAAGCAGCTATGTCCGAGGTACCCCTTGGAGCAAGACTTGCTTCAGTGGGGCTTAGGTGATCACTGAGTCTGCTTCTTGAGTATGTCTCTGGGGGATGTGTAGAATTGTATTATCTGAAGCTGTTCACTGGATGCAGTGGTTCTGAGGCCTCCAGGGAGGTGTAAAGCGAGACAATGCCTGGGCCACCTGACAGGAGCTACAGAGTGATCTGTAGATGGTTGCTTCTTGTGTTGGGCTTGGAAATGCCCAGGAGAGACCAAGCCATGAAGCCAGGCAGGCTGCTTCTAGTGCTAAGTCTTGTGTCTCCTATGAGTGTTATGTAGCATAGGAACACCAGCTGCTGCTTGTTTGAGAGATTTTAGGAAAGACTGAGCCCTGAGGCAGGACTAGGCAATCTTAACAGCTTGGGTGAGGCTGCAAAATGGGTGGAGTGGGGTTACTACCAAAACTGTATTGCAGGAAATTTTAAAGGGTCTTCTTAAAGAAGAAGAAGAAGAAGAAGAAGAAGAAGAAGAAGAAGAAGAAGAAGGAGAAGAAGAACGAGAAGAAGAAGAAAATATGAGTGATAAAATGGCAATAAATACATATCCATCAACAATTGAATCTAAAAGTCTAAATAAATTAACAAGCTGAATGGATACCAATTCATAGACTCAGAGAACAAATTGATTCTCACTAGATGAGCCGGGAGTGGGGCTGGGTGAAAAAGTGAGGGTATTAATAAGTACAAATTGATTGTTACAGAAAAGTTTATGGGAATTGTAAGTACAGCATAGAGAATATAGTCAATAATATTCCAATATTTATGTATGGTGTCTGATGGGTATAGGATTTATCAGGATGATTACTTAGAAAATTATACAATGTCTAATCACCAGAGTGTACACCTGAAACTAATATTGAATTGTGTGTCAACTGTAGTTGAAAAATTAAAAATGACTGAAAATCTTTCATTAAAAGTCAAAAGCTACAATACTTAACAGAAAACTCCTACTTAAATAAGAGGTGGTAACTATTAAAATGTTTTATTACAAACTAATAAATTAATAGACTGGCTCAAAGGTTAGATCAAAGGACACGTACGGGCCAGTAAAACCAGATGTATGCAGCCATACACTCTTATCCCAAACAAAATCATTAAAGAGTATGTTGTATGAATGAAGAATGTGTTATTATTATTTAATACAATTAGCTGATTGCTATATAAACATTCAACAATATGATGCATTAGTGTGTTATAAAACTCATTTTAGTTTTTAAAATACTATATTAAACACTCATCACATGACCTTGACATCCATAAAGTCTGTACAAAATTGGAGAGTCAACTGAACATTTATAAGACCAAGGAAATGGATGAAAAAAGCTTTTTGTAAGAGCAAATGACAACTATGCCTGGTCTAATATATACAACTTATTAATCTTTGTATTATTTATATTATATAAATCTGTACAAAGTTATTTGTAATATGTAAATAAAGTAATGCAAATAGCAACAGGAAAAATTCATGTTAAGACAAATATTTATCATTTAATTGGCTAAACAGATAGCTTCTTTACATATGTTCAAACTGCTCTTATATACATTATGTACCCTGAGTAGGTTGCAGTTTAATTAGCAGTCAACCCTAAGAAGACATGAAAAGCCTCAAACCAGCCTGAAATAAGTGATACGCTAAGTCAGAAAATAGTTGCTTGAATTTACGTATTATTAAGGAAGAGAATAATGGACTTATATCAAGACTTGGAGGCTGTCAGAAAGGCAGAGTAGACAGCCAAAGAGACATCAGGAGGATTGAATAAGCAGCGATTTCTACCATCATGCCTGAATTCCACATAAATTCTGACAACCATCCACAGATGAGGGTTCCCTTGTGGAAGTCTGGGAGTCTAGCAGAGAAGTGACAGCCCTCGGCCGGAGCACAAAAATTGAGGATAAATACATTAAAGAGCACAGGAAGAACAGTTTCCATTGGAACCAGCCTCAATCTGAATCCTCTCTTGGGGTGCGACTTAAACCACCACCTAATGGTGGTGAACCCCACCTCTGAAATCACCCCAGATCCACAAAGCTGGGCTTCATGCCAATTCACATTCTAGGGCCATTGTGGGTCAGAGTCTCTCATGGGCCCAGTTTAAATTCTGAATGGCATCTCAGGTGCTATTGGCCATTTGCTTCCTTCAGAGCCCCAGTTTCTCACCTGGAAAGACTCCCTGTTGGATTGGACTCAGGTGGGGCTGATGAGACAGGTGAGGCCATGAGTGTGGAAAACACAATGTAGACATGGGAAGGGTTTGCTGCACATGATCAGTAACCACTTAGTGGTAGATGTGGTCACCCCGTGAAGGGTGTGGCTGTCCCCCCAGTTCGTCTGCATCCCACTAACTTGTGTGGGAAATAATGAGGGTCATAGAACAGAAATGCTCTATCTGTGAGTAATGACAAGTAGACTTATGAGTCATCAAATGATCATTGAGAAGAAGGCGGCCATGATTCCAAAAGACTTTGTGGTTTCCATCCTGAACAAAACCACTCAACACTGCCCAACTTGTAACCATCATGGATTTCCTGTAATTCTTTTCATTCCTTTATTTGTAAGGTTTATCTGAGCTATATATTCTTTAATAATACACAATGTCTCCTTTACTTTAATGTCTCCTCTTTATTTTTTTTTAAATTTGTTTTATTGATTTTTCACAGAGAGGAAGAGAGAGGGATAGAGTTAGAAACATCGATCAGTTGCCTCTTGCACACCCCCTACTGGGGAAGTGCCTGCCACCAAGATACATCCCCTTGACTGGAATGGAACCTGGGACCTTTCAGTCCCCAGGCCAACACTCTATCCACTGAGACAAACCAGTTTCAGCAATGTCTTCTCTTTAATGTCGGGTAAATGAAATGATTTAAAAAAAACCAAAAACATAGTTTTATACTCATCTAAATGTATTAGTTATTATATGTGATGATGGATATACATGACCCTTGCAATTTCAAGTTGTGCATTTTGATTGATAGATACTATTTATTGGATAATTTTTTACCCAGGACACCAAAATGTCTCTTTTCTTGAGCATACAATCTTATAGTGCTTTTGAGGGGGAGTGGTTAATAAGAATAACTCTTGTCAATGTCCTTGTGTGTGATGCACATGTGCATATTTTCTCCAAGCATGTACTTAAAGACGTAGCTGTGCGTCTCTAACTAGATGAGTGTCATGTAATCTCTGAATTGATGATACAATTGGCACTCCTACAAGTAATGCAGTAGAACTCTATGGACTCATAATTCTCTCCCACAACTGACATTAAAACATTTTTTTTGCGCATCTCACCTGGATGGGTGGGGAGTATGGTCTTGTGTTTTCATGGAAATTGTGCCCCAATCTTGAAGTAGAAACCATTGTGACACATCAACTGGAAGGGGCATAGATGCCCTGTGGGGCTATCAGTGTGGTATTAACGGTGTCCCACATCAGCTTGTACTCTTTTGTGAAAGTCAGTTTGTGTATTGCTTCCCAAGTCTGCATGAGGATTTTACATTGGCACTTGACCTTGACCATGAAGGGGGCATATACACAGAAAAAAGTAAACTATGCCAAGAATCAGTGTTTTTATATTAAATTTATTGAGGTGTCATCGATGAATGACATGGCATAGGTTTCAAGGGTAACACGCCTTCTGTGTGTTGCACTGCGTTTTGGACAACGGGATTTTCAGAGGCAGCACAGATCAGGCAACCCTTTCAAAGAACTAGGTCTCGATCCCAAAGGGTGAGGTTTCTGCAGAAAGCACACAGGTGGCCTCAGAGGCCAGGTGAGGGGCGAGCAGAGTCCAGAACCGGCGTTAGGACTTCTTGTGGGGTTCTCTCTTACAGGATGGATTGTGTACTCTGTAGATTGATGACAATAGATGGCATGCTCTGGACTCAGGTGATGGGGACTCTGTACAGACATGAAAATCTTTGTAAATAGAAATACAGGAAAACATATTCCATGAAAGCATTGGGATTTGTGGGCCTCTACCCATCCTGTGGGATGAATGCAAATTTCACCAAAATGGGGAAGTCAGCAAGCAGTCACAGGCCTCAGTGGTCAGGAGGGGAAGGACCACAGTTCAAGGGCAGAAGGTCCAGACCATTTCCCTGCATATAAGCGATGATTCCTCCACCTGCAAGGAGCAGCAGACATGTCCCTCAGCATATGTCTCACATGATCTTCCAGAACTTTCTCAATATCCCCCTCTCTAAACCATGCATTGTTCTCCTCCATGTTCACATTCTGGCTGCATCCTGGGTCTGATTCTGGCTGTTTCGAGACCAAAATAGTAGCACCCCGAGTGCCATCAGGACCAATCCAGCCACGCCCATCCGGATGGAATTCTCCATGGTGTAGTCTTGTGAGTGGGAGGCTGGGAATTGTGGCGGAAAAGGTCATAGAGGTCAGGGCAGGATGAGCTCACCCCAGGACCCTGGATGTCCACCCAGGGCACCACCACCCCTTGACAGGACATGACCCTCTGTGCTGAGCCCATAACCGAGAGTGTCTCCTACTCACCACAAGTGGGGTCTGAGTTATTCTGTGAGGGGCTGATGGTGTCGTCTGCTCCTGAGAACCAGAAAGGAGTGGGGCTGTGTGAGGAGTTGATGCCACTCAAGCCTAGAATCCACATCATTCTCCCCTTTCTCATGACCTAACTGCTACCAGTCCCTCCATGAACCCTTTCTCTGCTGGAGAAGGGTCCTGTCTGCATTCGTGGATTCTTTCCAGCTCCCTGAAAATTTTGAGTTTAGACTTGGCTTTTGAGTCACTTTGGAGCACCTTGGCTTTACCCAGAGAATTCAGGATGGGAGAAAAATATGCTTTCTTATTAGAGACATTATCTACTGTTTGTTTGTTTGTTTTAAATCCTCAATGGAGGATATTTTTTCCATTGATGTTCAGAGAGATTGGGGAGGAGAGAGAGAGAGAGAGAGAGAGAGAGAGAGAGAGAGAGAGAGAGAGAGAGAGACAGAGACAGAAAGACAGACAGATGTGGGAGAAATGTATTGATTGGTTGCCTCCTGCACAGGGGCTGAGGATCAAGGCTGTGACCCTTGACTGGGAATCAAACTCATAGCTCTATAATGCCTGGGCTGATGCTCTAACCACTAGAAGACCACAGCCAGGGCCATAATTAGTTATTCTCATCTCTGCTCATTGTGAAATTCTGTACCAGGGAAGCTAACTCATCTGGGTATAAGAGCTTATATTACGCAACAGTTGAAGACCCAGAATTCATGGGTTGGTTTCAAATATACATGCATGTATGTATGTAGACCTTGAGCAATTCTTGAGCTATGAATGAGAACAATTTTATAAATGAAACTGAAAAATGCATCTGAAGTCAAAAATTAACATTTTGAGCCCAGATAGTATAGGTCAGCCTTTGAGCGTCCACCTATGAACTTGGAGGTTATGGTTAGATTCCTGGTCAGGGCATGTGCTGAGGTTGTGGGCTCCATTCCTTGTGTGGGGCATGCAAGAAGCAGATCAATGATTCTCTCATCACTCATGTTTTGTTTTTTTTTAATGATTTTTAAAATATATTTTATTGATTTTGTACAGAGAGGAAGGGAGAGAGATAGAGAGTTAGAAACATCGATGAGATAGAGTCATGGATCAGCTGCCTCTTGCACACCCCCTACTGGGGATATGCCCACAACCAAGGTACATGCCCTTGACCAGAATCGAACCCGGGACCTTTCAGTTCCCAAGCCAACGCTCTATCCATTGAGCCAAACCGGTTTCGGCTCATCACTCATGTTTTTATATCTCCCTCCCATCCCATTCCCTTCCTCTCTGAAATCAATAAAAATATATTTTAAAAAATTAATTTTTTGAACCATCTATTATAAGAAACTTCCTGTTGACAAAGTTATTCTTCATCATAAATACAAATATATGTTTTAAATGTATGTTTATTTTTTTCGGAGAAGAAGGGAGAGGGATAGAGAGAAAGATAGAATCATAAATGATAAGAGAGACTCATTGATCGATTGAGCCCGCAACCTAGGCATGTGCCCTTGACCGGAATCGAACCAGGGAATCTTTTAGTCCCCAGGCCAATGCTCTATCCACTATATATCTATGCCCTAGCCAAGCCAGCTAGGGCATACATAAATTTTTTTTTTAATACATAGAAATATAATCCCAATTAAGATAAGAATAAATCCATGTTTTTGAAGTCATAAATGTTTGCAGGTTAAACTTATATATGCAACTGTTGCCTACAAGTTCCCAGCAAAAGAGCATTAACAGAGAGATATGCACAGAAAACGCAGAGAGCAAATGTGAATTTCACACAGAGTCTGGGCAGGAGCCCCCAGTTCCTCATGAGCCCTCCATGGCCCCCCCTGAGTCTCAGGTGAGCACTGAGGGCCTGGAGGCCTCCAGGGGGCACAGGGCCTTGCAGAGTGGTGCCCACAGGTGGGAACACTTCTCACTGCAGCAGGGTGTCCAGTGTAGATGGCACCATCACCCACAGCAGGTGCCACCTTGGCCAGAGCGGCCACCTATCCTGCTCTGAGAAGGCTCAGGGCTCCACCTGTGTGGTGAGGGATTCCATCCAAAAGGGCTCTGGAAATGACCAGCCAAGGGAATGTCCCCTGTCCTCTCTCCACCTCTCCACCTCTCCTGATCTCTCCTCCCCCACTGGCCCAGCCATTGTGCTTGTGCTACAAGCCAGGCCTGGGCACCAAATGCTGCCCCCGCTCCATCTCCCAGCCCACAGACTCTCCATTCTGCTTAGAGACTGGACACCAGGTGAACTATGGCTTTTGGTGGAAAAACCCCACAGATTCTGTGTGGAACCAGGAGGAGCTGACATGCTAAGTGGGAGTTTCCAAATCTTTGGTGTCTCCATAACATTGTGTGGCCCCTCTTGCTGAGCTGAGCCCCAGGCCTGGTGGATACTCAGTGCACCTTCCCCCTGTCTCCCTCAGCTTTTCAGTCCCTACAAGGTTGCAGTGACTGGGAGCAGCAGGACAGGCACAGACAGGGCTGACCTGGAGTACGTCTAGGACAAGCCAGGTGTCAGGTGCCCCAGGAAGTCAGGAATGAAAGCGCCCCTGCAGGTCATGGCAGGCAGCCCCCCGGTTCCGAGGGAAAAGTTCTCAGACTTCACCTCCCCGGAGAGCTGAGCCCACACACACTCAGCCCCATTTTTGGGGGTCCTGCCTGTGGGATGTCCCTCTGTGAGCAGTGATGCTTTGGTCTGAGGCGGAGCCACCAGAAGTCGGGGGGCGGAGCCTCTGTCTGGTCACTTCAGTCAAATCTCACTTCCTCTTAGCTGAACTGGAGTAGTGCCACCTCCTCCCTTCCTCAGGCCTGGCTGAAACTGAAGGGCAAGGCTGTCCCAGAGGAGGGAGGTCCCCATCAGTGTCCACGCTTTCACGGATGACCCTCCTCTGTGGAACCACGCAGTCCTCCCACTACTGCCATCACATCTCAGACATTGCTGGGGACAGAGACAGAGATGACCTGGGGGCCCAGAGAAGACAGGACAGAGCTGCTCACCAGAGACCTGGAGCTCCAGGGAATCACTGGGGAGTGACCACACCATGGGGCTGTTCCTGTAATAGCCATAGCATCTGAACATCCCCCTGTGGCTGGAGGTCACAGGTCCCACAAGGAACAGGGCCTGGGACTGCCCACTGGGCTGTCGCTGTGAGACCAGGGCCCAGGAGAACCTTTGATCTCCTTCCTTAGTCAGAAGGAACCTGCCAAATCCCTGCCATGAGCCACACTGGAGGGTCACGTTCTCTCCTGAGGTCACGACAGGGCTGGGCAGGGCTGAGAGGCTGGGTTTGCTGTAGAATCCTAGGAGAGGAGGAGGCAGCGTGTTAAGTGAGGCTCACACCTCCCTCATGGCCCCCAGGGCTGGGCTGTAAGAGGGAGACACCCTGAGAGCAGACCCCCTTCCTGAGGGCAGAGCCTGAGGCTGGGACCCCTGAGTGCTCTCTCACCTGTCACCACCAGCTCCAGGGGGTCACTGCGCTCTGACAAGCCAGTGAGGTTGCGATAGTAACAGCGATATCTCCCTGCATTATACTCTGTCATGTGTGAGATGGAGAAATTGACCCTGTCTCCGGGCTGCTGTGGCTTCTGACTATTCAATGATGGTTGGCTTCCCTCTTTCTCCAGATGGTACTCCTCAGCCTCTGGGGTCCCCTGACACCAGATGGTCAGGGGGCTCCTCCGGGGGACCACAGGGCCTGGCTCAGCCCAGAGGGTGGGCTTGGGGAGGGGCCCTGAAAGGAATCAGAGGCTGGGTCACAGGACATTCCCATGTCTGGTCCCAGGTCTCAGTCCTGGATGCCCCCCATCTGTCAGAGAGATCTTACTTCTGCTGCCTTGGGAGAGGTCCTTTGTCCCCAGGGAGGAGCAGGACCTGGGACACCTGGGGAGACTCACCTGCCTGCACTGGGGTCCTGAGGCCCACACTCAGCCCTGGAAGAGAGTCCCTGTGAGAGATTTGCCCTGAACCCTGAGCAGCTCCCTCCTCCCCATGAGCCTCCTGAGTCCTGGGGTCCTGATGGACCAGGACTCCATTCACCCTCCCATCTCACCGAGGCAGAGCAGGGCCCTGAGGGTGTGAGTCATGACGTCTTCTCCCTGTGGCCTTAGCTGAGCAGATGGAGGAGATGGTGTGGCCAGCAGGATGGATAGATGCACGGGTGGTGGTCACTTGGAGGCTGGTCCTGTCTATCACGGGGTTCTCATGTCAGCAGCCTACAGGCAAGGGCACAGCCTCTCTAGCAGCCTGACTCATTTTCATGGTGAAGCAGGAAACAGATCTGGACCCTCCTGAGCAGGAGGTGGCCCAGGGCAAGTCCTTCCCTGTCAGAGCCTCCTCAAAGGAGCCTTCTTCCTCTTTAGCTTGTCCATCAGCACCTCCCTGGGGTTCTCACCATGGACAGTGCCACCCGGGCCCTGGAGACGTTTCAGGAAGACCTGGGTCCCTGTGGCCTGCAGAGCTCAGATCAGCAGGGACACACTCACCCTCTCCCTGTGAGCTCAGCACGATGTCTGTGACAGCAAGCACAGAGGGAAATGAAGCGAAATAAGGGAAGGACACTTCTATGACCTCAGATTACAGTTCCTTTTTCTGGCACGCTTTTTCATGAATTTTCCTTTTTTTCTCAGAAACAGCCTCCAGCTCCTCCTTCCTGAAAATAAGCCTCAGGGTCCTTTTGCACCTCAAGACTCCTAGATCCGCTAGGGCAGAGCTGTCCTCCTGAGACCATGGTTTGCCCTAGACATTAAAGGACTGTAATTTGGGCTAGAACTTTGATTTGACGAAGAAAATTAATCTTTTGTGTTTTTGTTAATCCTCACTTGAAGATATTTTTTCCCATTGCTTTTAGATAGAGTGGAAAGGAAAGAGGGATGGTAAGTGAGATAGAGATAGAGATAGAGAAGATAGAGATAGAAATAGAGATAGAGATAGAGATAGAGATAGAGATAGAGATAGAGATAGAGATAGAGAGCATCTGCCCCCTGGTGATCAGTGCTCATCATAGCCACTGGTTGTCCCCCGTTCAGTAGATTTGCATGTTAGTCCTTTATTATATAGGACTTTTATTTATTTCAGAGATGGAAAGGGAGAGAGAGATAGAAACATCAGTGATGAGAGAGAATCATTGATGGGCTGCCTCCTGCACACCCCCCACTAGGGATGGACCTGCAACCCAGGCATGTGCTTGACTGGGAATGGAACTGTGACTTCCTGGTTCATAGGTCAACACTCAATCACTGAGCCATGCCAGGCAAACTTCAGTTCTTGATTTGTTGTGAAGGGCTGTTTGAGAAGTGATTTGTTCGAAAATGGGATCTTTCCTCCACCTCCACCACCACCACCACCACCACCATTATAAATAATGCAAATTGAATTAATCTGTTCCAAACCCCCAAATGATTCCATTTTAACTTTTCTTATGTACTGTTTAATCTATAAACAAACACTTGTCTTCTTAAAGTAATTGAACCACCCCTTACTGGCCTTAAATGAATCACTTTTTTTTTTTTTTAATAAGTTTTTATTGTTCATATTATTACAAATGTTCCTTTCCCCCCACCCACCATTGCTCTCCTCCACCAGGTTCCCATCCCACCCTCTGCCCTTTCCCCTCTCCCCATTGTCCTCATCCGTAGGTGCACAGTTTATGTTCAGTCTCTTCCCACGCCCCCCTCTCCCCTTTTCCCCAAGAATCGTCAGTTCACTCCCCTTCCATACCTCTGATTCTATTATATTCAACAGTTAATATTGTTCATCAGATTTTTTTAATTTCCTTGGTTTTTAGATTCACTTGTTGATAGTTATGTATTTGTTGTTCATAATTTTTATCTTTGTTTACTTTCTCTTCTGAAAGAACCCCCTTCAGCAATTCATATAATTCTGGTTTGGTGGTGATGAACTCCTTTAGCTTTTTTTTATTAGTGAAGCTCTTTATCTGGCCTTCGATTCTGAGTGATAGCTTTGCTGGGTAGATTATTTTTGGCTGTAGGTTCTTGCTATTCATCACCTTGAATATTTCTTGCCATTCCCTTCTGGCCTGCATGGTTTCTGTTGAGAAGTCAGCTGACAATCGTATAGGTGCTCCTTTGTAGGTTACTACCTTCTTTGCTCTTGCTTCTTTTAATATTCTCTCTTTGTCTTTTGCTCTTGGAATTTTAATAATGATGTGTCTCGGTGTGGTCCTCTTTGGATTCCTTTTGTTTGGAGTTCTGTGCGCTTCCTGGACTTGTAAGTCTAATTCTTTCACCAGGTAGGGGAAGTTTTCTGTCACTATTTCTTTCAGTATGTTTTCCATATCTTGCTCTCTCTCATCTTCTGGGACCCCCATAATTCTGATGTTGGTTCGCTTGAAGTTGTCCCAGAGGTTTCTTACATTATCTTCAATTTTCTGGATTCTCTTGCCTTCTAGCTTCTGTGGAGGAGTGTCTTCTGGCTCTTTATGTTCCAAATCTTTGACTTGATTCTTGCGATCTTCCCTTCTGTTTTTAGGACTCAGTAAAATATTTTTTATTTCAGACAATGTATTCTTTATTTCTTGTTGATCCCTTATCATTTCTTGTTGACTCCTTATTAATTCTAGTTGATCTCTTTTCATATCCTCGTAGCCCTTATCCATCTTTTCTAAGAAATTCTTGAAAAAACTTATAAGCGTAGATTTGAAATCTATATCCAGACGCTTTTTGTCCTCCATTTCTTTCGTTTGTGATCTATTTTGTTGTCGCATTTCGCAGTTACAGATGGGACGGGGTTTCAGGGTGGAGCCTGCAGCTTTGGCTTCTGTCAGCCCCGCCCTATGCGGGTCCTTCAGTGCTCGCTGCTGCCAGCGCCTCTGAGAGAAAGGTGCCCTCGATTTTCGCCTGCTGCCAAACAGTCTATGCTCTCCCACAATGAGCCCGGTATTGGGGTTCAGTTCAGTTGGAAATGGAGTTGGAGGTGGCGTTCAGAGCAGTCTGGAGCCCCAGTCTCCTTCCCGTCAGGGCGATCCCGCGGCACAGCCGACCGTCCCTTCTCTGCGCGCAATGTGCGCGCCTCCGGGACCTCCTTTCGCCTCTCCCCGGGGTTCCGCCTTACAGCCCAGCTCCCTATGGCTGAGCCTGAGTCCCCGGGGTCTGGCCCAGAACCGGGGATCAGAGCAGTCGGGGGCCCAGCACAGTCGGAGCTTTTCTCTCCTTTCCGCTCAGGAACGCCCCCCAGGCACTCGGCCTCCCTCCTCTCCGGCTCCGTCCTCTCCGCGCCGCGTCTCCGTACCTTGGGCTTTTCCAGCTCCTCCGCGCCTCCTTCTGGTTTTCTCCTTGCTTCTCGCTGTAGAATTTCCAGTCAGTCAACCTTCCTGTAGTTCTGGGCAATGTCCGTTTTATATTTTAGTTGTATTTTATTGAAATTGTTGTGTGCGGCTGCGGCTAGGTGTTCACCTGGGCGCAGCCATCTTGGATCCTCCTAAATGAATCACTTTTGATAGATCCTCCCTTCCTCCAATTGATGGACGGATGTAAACTCCACCTGCAGCCAGACATTCCTGAGCACTGAACCACCCATTAGCACCTGCCAAGTACCCTAAGCCCCCGATTCCTAAGTCCCTAGGTTCCTAATCATGTGCCTTCCATGAAACCACCAATCAGCGTGTGCTGAGTGCCCTAAGTCCCATCCCCTCGCTTTTCTCCCCTTAAAAGATGCATGAACCCCAGCCCTCGCTCTCTTTTTCCAGAAGGCAGCTGGCAGTAATACTCTTCTCTTCAATAAAGCCTGTGTCCTGGCACCCCAGCCTCCAGCCCTCCTCTCTGTTTCATCTTTCAACTTTCAGCACACGTTCTAGGGTTGTCTTTTAGGTGTTCCCTTATTACTGCCTCCAAAATGCTGTCAGTGGCTAATTGCTTTTCCTTTATCCAAACCAACACCAGTTTTTTTTGTTTGTTTGTTTGTTTTTTTTTTTAATCTCTTCCATTGCCTGTGTTCATTGTCTGTTTCACCCCATAGCAACATTAGCACTCTTGATGGCCTCTTCAAGTTTTAAAATTGTGCTCATGGCTAATGTTCCCCCCCCCCCCCCCCCCAGGAACAAAAACATTCTCTCCTCTGTTTGCTGTCTGAGAAACGTCTTTTGTGCATGAAAAGGTTTTCAGGTCGAAAACAGAAACTTGGTTCCACAGCTGAGGCATTTTCCCCCTTGAACAACTTGGTGGAGAACTGAATTGTTTGAGATGGCAGATCTTGGAGAACTGAGGTTTGACTGTATTGTAAAAAGATTTCATTTTAAAATAGTACTGGAGGGTATGAAATGGAGAGTCTCACATATGGGTTCTGCGGTAAACTCACTTTAAGGACTGAAGGAGTAATTCCCCATAAATACCTGATTAAAAAAAAAATACCTGATCCACAGAAAAAGTAATCAAAGCATGAGATTAAGAGATTAAATCATTTTCATCTTTCAAAACTGAAACAAAAGGCTAATAATCTTACAGGCCATAAACTAGTTCAAAGAGTTCAACTTACTTATTTCTAAGAAACCTCACTTTCAATTCCCCTAAGTTCTTCCTAAAATGTTGAGCAGTTATTTTTTTAAATTTATGTATTTGTAAAGACTTTCTTATTAACATTTAACAAAAACAAATCAAGCATAAAAAGCTGTAATCATTTATGGAAATTCAGAGCTCTCTAAATAAATTTTAGTTTAAGTTGACCTTTTATACTTCCTTTTAAGTACTACACATACAAACATTTACTTATAATCAATGAGGCAAATACAGGTCTAATAGATAGCCAAGAAAGACTTGGTAAATGTTTCTAGATTCCTAAAACATTTTAGAGGCTTTCATATTAATAATTCTACACTTTCCATTCTTAAAATGTTTTACCAAATAAAACAAACTGATACCATTGGGTAACATTTAAAACTGAAACTTTTTGTATATTAATGTAAATTGATTTGTTTATTTAAATTTCTATTTTAATATTTTTTCTTACAGATTTTACATATTTTGTGTCACAATATGCAATCTTACATTTTTCAGTGTTTATTTTATGAAAATTATAAGCTATTTTTTTCTAGAATGACTGTGTAATATTTGTATTATGTGATCATTTGAAAACAAATAAATATTTTCTCCTTGGGAAAAAAAAAAAAGTAAACACTTTCGACAAATGGGCACCCACCATGAGCTTCTCCACATCCTCAACAATGAAGTTTCCCCTTGGACTGTAGTTTCCCACCACCTCCTTGAATTTCTTGCATACAGCCTGCCTCAAATCCTTAGAGAACTCCCCTATAGTGTGGACAGTTTTCATGTTCCGAATTGCAATTCCTCTGCTGTTAACCAAATCACTTCAATGTTTTTGTTACAGGGTTCCCGAACAATCAAACAATGCAGAAGGAGAGTTTGGAGAGACCTAGTTTATTCATCGCACGATGGGCTTAGAGAAAATGATTTCAAATTCTAAGCAAAGCTACAAGCAGAACTTCCCTTTTTATTAAAGAGCCAGCCCTATGTGCATTTAGTGGTTATCTC